AAGAAACACTACTCAGGGCTGGAGATGTGGCTCAGCGGTTAAGAGTACTGACTGCTCTTGCAGAGGACCCAGGTTTGATTCCCAACACTCTCACGGTGGCTAGCAACTGTCCATAACTCCAGTTCCAGGGGAATCCAATGTCCTCTTCTGAGTCCCCACAAGCATTGCATAACATGGGGCTCTTACATACATGAAAGCAAAACATACACATAAAATAAATATAAATAAACTATTTTAAATTGTATGAAAAAGAAACCTTACTTATAGCTGTGGAGATATTGATAGTTGATGGCTTCTGGGGTAAGGAGAGTCAGTTTCTTTATGGGTGTGACCCTTTTATGTCAACCATGCTTCACTGGATAGCCCCACATTCATGAGTATGTGAGCAACACAAATTGAACATAAATTGGTTTTTAAACACAAAAATGAAGACATGAAGATGGGAGGGGTTTAGGGGATGGAGGTGGATCTGAGAAGAACTGGGAGACGAATTGGGGTGAATGTGATCAAAATACATTGTATGCATGTGGGAAATTATCAAAGAATTACTAAAAATATTATGTTTTACAAAACTTAAAAAAAAACTTGAAGACAGTGTAGCTGATAAAGGTGCCCACTGCCAAAACTAAAGACCTGAGTTCCATCCCTAAGACCCATATGGTAGAGACTTGACACTTGTAAGTTTGTCCTCTGACCTTCACACACCACACACACACACACACACGCACGCACGCATGCACGCACACACACACACACTGAACAAATAAATAAATGTAGTTAAAAAAGATTCAAAACATAAATGTGAAAGGCAAAATGATAAATTTTCAGAAGAAAATAAATATGTGACACTATCTTGATATGACCAAAAATGATTTGCTAAAACAAGGCACAAAATATAAAACTCATAAAGGAAAAGACTGGGAATCAGAGTACATGAACGATAAGAATTTCCATTTATCAGAAAACACCATTAAGAATGCAAAGGCTCTCTGTTCCTCCCTGTTCTAGAGGCAGCTGCATCTTCTCATGCAGTGCCAGCTTTGTCCCTGAGACACGATGGTGAAGGCTGCTGTGAATGGATTTGGCCATGTTGGGCACCCGGTTACGAGGACTGCCATCACCTCTGGCAAAGTGGACACTGTTGCTGTCGATAACCCCTTCACTGACCTCAACTACGTGGTCTACAAGTTCCAGTATGATTCCGCCCATAGAAAGTTCAAGGGTACAGTCAAAGCTGAGAATAGGAAACTTGGAAGGCCATTTCCATCTTCCAGGAGTGAGATTCTGTCAACATCAAATGGAGTGATGCTGGTGCCCAGTATGTTGTAGGGTCTCCTGGGGTCTTCACTACCATGGAGAAGGCTGGGGCCCACCTGAAGGGTGGAGCCAAAAGGGTCATCATCTCTGACCCTTCTGCTGATGCCCTCATGTTTGTGATGGGCACGAACCATGAGAAATATGACAACTCCCTCAAGATTGAAAGCAATGCCTCCTACCACCAACTACTAACTGCACCCCCCCAAGGTCATCCCTGATGACTTTGGCATCGTTAAGGGACTTATGACCACAGTTCATGCCATCACAGCTACCCAGAGGACTGTGGACAGCCCTTCTAGGAAACTGTGGTGTGATGGGCATGGGGCTGCCCAGAACATCATCCCTGCATCCACTGGTGCTGCCAAGGCTGTGAGGAAGGTCATTCCAGAGCTGAACTGGAAAGTTACTGGCATGGCCTTCTGTGTTCCTACACCCAATTTGTCTCTCGTGGATCTCACCTGCCCTCTGGAGAAAGCTGCAAAATATGATGACATCAAGGAGCTGGTGAAGCAGGCATCCACGGGCTCCCTAAAGGGCATCCTGGGCTATACGGAGGACCAGGTCATCTCCTGTGATTTTTATAGCTATACCCACTCTTCTGTCTTTGATGGTGGGGCTGGCATTGCCTCAAACAACCACTTTGTCAAGCTCATTTTCTGGTATGAGAACGAATTTAGCTACAGCAACAGGGTGGTGGACCTCATGGTCCACATGGCCTCTAAGGAATAAGAAGCCATGAACCACTCACCCCAGCAAGAGACCCTTGGCCTGGGGTTGGAGGAGCTCCCTGCCCCAACTCAGCCTCCAACACACCAAGAAGCTCCCTTCACAGTTTCCTTCCTACACCCCCAGAAGAAGGGGAGGGGCTTAGGGAGGTCTACTCTCTTGAATACTGTCAATAAAGTAAATTCAAACTCCAGGTTCAATAAGAGGCCCTGTCTCAAAAATAAACTGGAGAGTGATAAAGTAGGACACCTGTCATTGACTTCTGGCTTCTACACACTCACATGCTTGCACACATGTGCACACATGCATGTATAACATACATTAAAAAAAGAAAAAAAGAAAAGACAAAATCACAAACAATTTTAGAACTCTAAAATTGTTTAAGAAAAAGAAAAATGGGGTTGGAGAGATGGCTCAGGGGTTAAAAGCACTGACTGCTCTTGCAGAGGACCTGGGTTTGATTCCCAGAACCTACATGGCAGCTACAAACCATCCTTAACTCCAGTTCCAGGGGAATGTGACGCCCTCTTCTGTCCTCCCAAGGCATTACACTACATGGGTGCACTCACATACATGCAAGCAATACACTCATTCACATAAAATTAAAAAAAATATTTTTTAAAGAAAAAGAAAAATAAACCATAGTAATATAGGTCAAAACTAGAGTAAGTGCTTATCAGAAGTGAAAATGTAAGTGCCAGCAGTTGAATTAAAAGGCATTTAACTTCATTAATAACCTTAAAAGTCCATTTAGAGCATGTGGAGCAAGGGGAATGCTTATTCTGAGTTCATTGGAGCATACATTTTTGTGAATGCTTTATTTATTTTTGGTTTTGAATGTATTGCCTGCATGTATGTAAGTGCACCTGTGTCGTGCAATGCCCATGGAGGTCAGAAGAGGGCACTGGATTGCCCTGGAACTGGAGTTTCGGACGGTTGTTAGCTGCCATGTGTCTGCAGGGAATCGAACTTGGGTCCTCCGCAAGAGCGGCCAGTGCTCTTAACTGCTGAGCCATCTCTCCAGCCCTTGTGCTTTAGAGCAGTTTGGCAATGAAACTGAATATTTGCAAATCTTTGGACCCAGGAATTCCACTCCATCAATGTTGTTCCATTGTTACAGCGCCAACAGTTGAATGAATAAATGTATTCATGCAGTGTAAATGAATTGCAATTACATGTACCAACATGTATAAATCTGAAAAATAAACTGAAGGAAGCAAATCACAGACGCATGCAATGCATACACACAACTACATTCCTTTTACAAAAATTCAAAGCAATAAACAATTCAGAAGAGAAATAACTGATTTTTTTTTTTTAGTCTTTTTGAGACAGGGTCTCCCTATAGCTCCAGCTGTCCTGGAACTCACTATGTAGACCAGGCTGGCCTCGAACTCACAAGGATCTGCCGGCCTCTGCCTCCCAAGTGCTGGGATTAAAGGCGTGCGCCACCACACCTGGCCCCACTAGAGAGATGGCTCAGTGGTTAAGAACACCGGTGGTTCTTGCAGAAGACCCAGGTTCGAATCCCAGCACCCACATGGCAGCTAAGAACTGTCTGTAACTCCAGTTCCAGGGGATCCAACAGCCTCGTCTGTCTTCCGTGGGCACTGCACGACACGGGTGCACTTACCTACATGCAGGCAATACACACATACACATAAAATAAAAATAATAAATAAAATATTTTTGGCTGGAGGGATAGCTCGGCCATTAAAGGCTCAGGCTAACTGAATGATATTTTAAGTATGCATTTATAGTTACTAAAATTCTAAAGAAAAAATGAAATAATTACCCTAAATTTCAGGTTATATGTGGTGGAGGAAAGACGAGGGATGTGATTAGGAAGGGACATGCTGGGGGCTTTAAAGATGCTGGAAATATTCTTTTTTTTTTTAAACCTGGGTAGTGAGAACTTAGACATTTCTTACAGTTATTCTTTAACTTACATACACATGCTTTTTGTACTCTTGTATGTATATCTCACTATTTTAGAAAAGAAACTATTTTAGTCCTCAGAGATGAACACATAACTCCAGCTAACCCATCACACTAGAAGACAGTCACTTCCCATCCTTGTTTTGCGAGCTCTGCCTGTTTGTTTTTGAACTAAGATGCATATTTACACTTGTTAAATTTTCTTTTAGTCTGTCTGTCCTTCCAGGCAGCCAAACTTTCCTCAGAGCTCTTATACCCAACAAGATGAGATCATTCTCCAGGGAACCTGGTCTAGTAAAGCTTCTGAGTTAGCTAGGCTGTGGTTCAAATGGCAGCTGCTGAAATGGTATCACTTCTAAAAGTTCACCTTGAAGAAGTTTCCTTGGTCTGGGAACATAGCTCAGTCGGTAGAGTGCCCGCCTAGTGTGGTGGAAGTCCTGGGTTTAGTCCCTAGCACTGCATAAACTGGGCACGATGGTGGACTCCCTTAATTACAGGGCGCACTAAGACCAGAAGTTCAAAGTCATCCTCAGCTACATAGCACGTTTGAGGCCAGCTTAGGCCACGTGAGACTGTGTCTCAAACAAAACAAAACAAACCCCAAACAAAACAGAAACATCCTTAAAATACATGCTTCCCTCTCTACTTCTCTTGTGGTTGATTTATATATAGTCTCAGCCTAATTATGCTTCTAATGAAAAACCTGAACACATCTTTTATCAAGGAAATCAGTGTTTCACATGAAGTTATGCTGATAAGATGATCAGAGAGACTATATTCACCCAAGAAGATTGCTATTTCCTGAAGGGGTAAAAACCTCAACAGGGAAAACCCCTGTGGTTCTCATAGGTAGGGCTGGTCTACCTAAGCTGATAACAGTTCCGTCCAGAAGAGGAAGACAGAATACAGTTATTCATTCCTGAAAGCTTTGTGAGTGGGTGTGCATTTTGACATTTTAAAGATTCACTAACCCTGAGCTGGACAGAAATCTCTGTACTGAAAGACAGTTCCAGAATCCAGATTGCTTCAAACCTCTACCTGACAATGGGAAACTGGCTGGTTGACCATTGGCTCTCAGTTTTGATTCTGGTAAGCTATTTCATTTCCTACTAGTTAAGAATGTTAATAAAGTAAGAAGATATCATATTTGTTGATATTTGTGAAGTTCTTAAAAAGGGAAAGGGTCTATGGCATTATTTTGGCTCATCAAAGTCAGTTATTAGTAGAAGAATCCTACTTTAGACCAGATGAGAGAACAAAGGCAAATGATTTGTAATTGTTCATGTTGCCAAAACATGAGGACTTGTAAGTGAAATCTGTTTTCAGTTTCTATTTTCTCTCCCATCTAATCTTCAACTATTGACATGAGACCTTGATTTCTCTCTAGTGTCCCTATATTGCTGCCATCAACATTTCATAAAATAATTGGATGGTTGAGATGGAAGTAATCTTAGAGATCATCTTGACACAGCAATACTCACTAGAAATATACTGTGACTCATTTACAGAATTTCTAAATTTTCTCATATTTATGCTGAAAAGGGTAAAAGGAAACAGATGAGATTTTAGAAATGTAACCCACTTACATTCTTAATATTAATTTTTAATAGATAATTTCTATCATTTCTAACTCTTTGAAAATCCATGTTTATTTTACATGCACAGCACATCTCAATTAGAACTGGTCACATTTCAAGTGTTTCATAACTACATGTGGGTAGCTAGTTACTGTATGACACAGAGCAGGCATAAAACCTGATATTCATGAAGGAAATTGATCCAGATGTCACACAGTGAATTGACAAACTATGTGTGACTCAAACCCAGTTCCCCAGTGTTCAAGATAGAACTTGTTTACCATCCTACCTACATAGAATCCCTTTCTTCCAACACACACACACACACACACCTCTTCTCACATTATTCTTTCATTTGTGAGTCACACTGAAGAAGCGTGAGGTTCCCCATGTCTTTCCTCATTCTCCTAGTACTCCATTTCTCCTTTTGGGGCTCTTGATTATTTTTTAAAATATTTCCTTTCCTTTGAGTTCTCTAAGACTGCAGGTGCTTCAGAGAAAAAAGTATGGAGTATCCTTGGAGGTTTGTTTATTTGGCATTTAATGAAAAGTCAAATGCTTATTTTTTATCAGGTTATCCCATGATTTATATTTTTAATACTCAGCACCCTGTGTTTAGTTCCTTTTGCATTATAATAAAAAGAGCACCAGTGTAGGAGATGGGGAACCTGGCAAGTATTTTCAGTTCTGCTACTGGGTGACCTTGACCAAATTATTTATTTTTTCCGGACTTCAGGTCCTGTGTTGGGGGGTGTTGGGTCAGCTGGTGGAGGAATGGGGATTAATTACGTGAATGGATTAACACATGAAATGCTGTTTATAGCCTTTAAAGCCACAACAACTTTTGACCCTCTCATTTTATCTTATTTTACTTTTTGGCTAGGGGAAATTTTTCACCCACAGGATGACTCATATTTATCTTTCTACCATTGAATTGCCCCTTTCTGCAGCCCCAATGGCAGCCTCACCTTTTTGTTATCTCTGGCATATACTTCTATACACTATTTTAAATAAAGAATAAATTACTCAAAAATATTTTTACTCCTCCTTCTTAGGTCTTTTACTCCACCTTATTTTCCATTCACAGTGGAGGAAGTAATCACCAAGGTGGGAAATCTAATGCCTTAGTCCTAGATGGTGCTGTACTTTATTTACCTTGTCTACAACTGGCGAGGGCTGATGCTGCAGAGCTTTTTATTCCTGTATCTGTCTTAGATCCTAAAATGTATCTGCTTCCTCCAAATGAGCTTGTCTCTTCTCTTCTCCAAATACTTTTTTTTTTCAAACAGGCACTCACTATGTAGTCCTGGCTGGCCTGGAAATTGCTAGGCAGGCCAAGCTAGCCTTGAACTCACAGATTTGGCTGCCTCTGCTTCCCAAGTACACCACCAGACCTGGCCAGTTCTCCAAATTCTTTAAGTATGTGTGGCTTTCAGCTCTCCTTTCCCATTGGCATAAAAGACTCATCGGCATAAAAGACTCTCTAGAAGACACTCCACTCCAGAAAAGAATTCTGAGCAAAGGAGGAAGGGAGGAATTGATTGGCAGCTGGGCACAATGGTAACTGTTATTCCAGCAACTTGGGAGACTGAGGCAAAAAGAGTTCAAGATCAGCTTGGGTAGAACTAGATGTAGGGAGATCCCAAATTCACAAAAATAAACAAAGAGACAAAAGAATGAAGGAAGAAGCAAAGGAAGGAAAGCAAGCAAGCAAGCAAGAGAAAGAAAGAAAGAAAGAAAGAAAGAAA